GGTTTTTGGACCTTGAAACCCTACAATTTGGGTACTTGGACCCTCTGGGTAATGCGATTATGCTGACTGGGTATGCGTATGCTGTAATGTAATTACCACCCTCCCCCCCCCAATCTCCCAAACTCTATTCTAATGACTGAGGCTCCTACCATAAACACCTGGATCCCACACTTAAGATTTTCTGGAATCCCTGTTTGAGGGGTCCGTGTCCGTATCCCACAGACGTAGGATTTGCTTAACATGGTTTTCTGGCCTTATACAAGTCATGTACAGCTATCGTAACCCCCTCATACTCCACAAATATGCACTTTGCAAACCACCGTGCAGGACGCCACCGACTGCGTTTTCCAATCCACCCCCGACGTCTGCGGAAGCGAAAGCTCACATGCGGAATGGGCGGGAAAGCTTACACTGATGTATCTTGGCATATGGTGGCGGTGATGATGAAGTTGATGCTGAAGAAGAAGCAGATAGTTACGATGATGATGATGATGATGATGATTATGGTGACGATGATAGAAGTTCGGGTTCTTATTGTGGTCCTTCTCTGTCCTGAGCCTTTATTGGTAAGCCTTGAAGGATCTATGTTTGGACACGCAAAGACCTGGCCTCCCCCAGGCGGCCCTGATAGAAGCCACAGGCGCGACACTGTCAAGCAATGAAGCTTCAGGGTTTAGGGTTTAGGGACTATTCCTTGGGGTTCCTGAGTATTCCTATACCATAATGTACACCGAAACCCTGTTCTCATCATCAGAAGGCCCCTAGATTCCTGGTATTCTCGTGATGCTGAGGAACCTTGGTCGCTGTCGTCACCATCGTTTAATCCCGAGCCTCCAATGCGAAACCCCAAATGCCTCAACCCTAAACCCTAAACCCAAACCCCCAAATCCTAAGCACTAAACCCATTAAATAAATAGATAAATAATATATATATATAATTTATTTATTTGTATATGTGCACCCTATTACAGTCGTGGTTTAAGTCAAGTTGGGCCCCCCGACCTTCGGAAAGTCATGGTTTACAGCGAGTTCTGCCTTAAACCACGAATGGAGCAAGGCCAGGGGTTACTTTGCCGTAAATCGCGGTTCGTGGCTACGTCTTTGCCCTGTCTTTGGCCATGAACCGCCTTTAAGGCAAGTTTGACACCGACCTTCGGCAATTTGTGGTTTCAGGCAAGTTGGACCCCCCGACCTTCATGCTTAAGGTTCAGGATTTAGGCTCTATTTAGGGTTCATTTAGAGCTTAGGGTTTAGGGTTTAGGGTTTAGGGTGCAGAATTTAAGCCTTAGGATTTCAGCGTTTGGGTTGTCCGAGAAGCATTTTGTAAGCTCTAGGGTTTAGGGTTTAGGGTTTAGGGTTTACGGTTTAGGGTTTAGGAAAGGCGTTTTGAAGGTCCGGAAAGTTCGCGAACAAAGGCAAAAATCGGCTCGTGGCATCCTCTGGCTTTAGGATTTAGGCTTTTGGTTTCAGGATGTAGGCCTTATGGTGTAGGATTTAGACTTTATGGTTGTTTATGGTTCTGGGCTGGCTTGAGCGTGATAAGGTTTAAGTTTTAAGCCTCAGGGTTTGAAAGAAGTAAAACGGTTTCTTAATGTTATGGGAATCTGTGCGTGGGTGGGATGACTTCCGATACCAAAGTAGCAAGCTCGACTAGAGACTGCTCGAACAGGAGCCGCTGAACCCTAAACCCTAAACCCTAAACACTAAAACCCTAAACCCCAAAACCCCAAACACCCCAAACCCTTAAAATCCTATACACCCCAAAAACCCCAAACCCCAAACACCCTAAACCCTAAAAACCCCTTAAGCCCCAAACCCCAAAAGGCCCAGAGCCTCAGAGCCAACCCTAAACCCCGAACCCTAAGCCCCAAACCCCAAACCCTAAACCCTCAACCCTAAACCCCAAACCCTCAACCCTAAACCCTGAACCCTAAACCCTAAGCCCTTTACCTTATAGTTACAGCAACCCCGGCCCCGAAACCTTTCAGATTGGAGACCCCTTATCTGGTATTTTGCCCCTGCCTGGGGCCGTGTCCTTGTCGGGCCGACTCCCAAGTTTAAGGGTTCACCGCTTGAGGTTCGTTATGTACCCAGAGAGCCCAGTACCCCTTAATTAAGGAATATACCTTAAGTTATAGGGGCCTTAATATTATGATTTAAGGTATATTCCTTAATTAAGGGGTATTGGGCTCTTTATGTAGTTCTTTTCTTTGTTCGGGCTTAGGGTTTAGGGTTTAGCGGTTTAAGTGGTTTTAGGGTTCAGGGGTTACGGCTTAGGGCTGAGGGTTTTAGGCTTTGGGGTTCTCTCATATATGGTGTGGTGCTTGCGGCCTTTGGGTGAGCCTTCCCCTTGCAAGGTATGTGGTTTTCAACCTCTGCATGAATGTCACGACCTTGTTGGCTGCACCCCGGCTGCGATTTACGCTTGAAGCAAAACTGCAACTGCCGCCATTTATACACATGCTGCTGTGTCGATCGCTGCTTGGAGTATGCCCGCGATTTTCAGTAGCTCCCACTACATGCAGGCACGCATTTCAGACTAACATGCCTTTATTACGTGGGTGAGTCTCTAAATTAGGCTTTTCTTGGGATCCACACAAAACCTCGTCACTCTTGCAGCTGTTGAACGAGGACCCCAAAACGGCCCAAAGCGAGAGAAGAGCTTCTAAGGTGTGTTTTGCCTTAATGTAGGAACCTGATTAAGAACCCTGGCCATACAACCCAAACATATTAGAGTTCATATTGAGAACCCTAATAAAGACCCAATGTTTCTTAATCAGGTTCCTACATTAACCCTGAATGCTGTAGAATCCGACGAGACGTTAGAACCCCAATCGCCAGACCTCATGAGTCAGCATCAAGCCCCAGACGCAGAGTGTATGCATAGGACACCTGCAGACACAAACCCTACACCTTACACCCTTAGCGTTCAATACCCTAAACCCCAGGTGAAGTATGGTAGCGCGCTGGGTACTTTCGTGGCTCTCAAAGCCATCTTCCCTGTCTCGATGGTGCTCTTCGCCTACGTGAGCCTTGGCTTATGGGTTTTAGTGCTCAGACTCTGAAGATTTCTAAAGGCTCAGGCTCAGGGTTTGGGAATAATGTGCACCGCAACAGCATTGAAGATGGAGCATGCTACTAAAGGCCATAGCATCCGTCGCAGTAGCAGTAGACTGCTGTTCTCTGTTGTTGTCAGCGGTGATGTCTGCTGGCACTTTCAGAGCTATCCTCTGTTTCGATTTCAGGAAGCTGCCCTTTGGGTTCAGGGTTTGAGGTGCCCTAAACCCTAAACCCTAAGCCCTAAACCCTAAACCGCGGGATATCCGAGGCAATGGCCTCTCCTGGGCAAGACAGACATCCATTGGCTGACCTGGATGTCCGTGCTGGTCCCTTGGCGTTCTTTAGGGTTTAGGGTTTAGGGTTTAGGGACTCTTAGGACTTTAACTTTTTGGGGTTTCTATAGGAACTATAATAAGGAGACTAAAAGTTTAACTTGCTGGGTTTCTATAGGAACTAGAATAAGGAGACTAAAAGTTTAACTTTTTGGAGGGGTTCAGAAGTCAGCCAAGGTCCTGCTGCCGTCCATCGGAGTTTACCAGTGGGCCACGATCCAGCAGAACAAGCGGGCTGCGATTCACCCGTCTCTGGCATCTTGCTGCTGGCCTTTCGGGGCTGCCCGTGCGGCCTAGATTCTAGATGGCTGATGACCTCGACCCCAATGCTTGGAAGACCTTAGGTTTTAGGGTTTAGGGGTTGGGTTTAGCATTTTAACCCAAAAACTTCAAAGCTTAAGGCTACACGGCAGCTGCGAGTTAGGATGGTAATCGTGATGTCTGCACCTTTCCTGCTGTTGCTGGCTGCCAGCGCGGCTGTGCTTCTAAAGAGTAAGAACCCTAAAATCGATTTCTGGGGTTTAGAGCTTAGGATTTTAGGGTTTAGAGTTTAGCATTCAGGATGAAATGCAACAAAATAGCCCTAACACCGTAAGCACCCAAACCGTGGCAACCCTAAACCCTAAGCCCTAAAGCCCAAACCCTAAGCCCTGAAGCCCTGAAGCCCTGCAGGGCCTTCGCAATGAGGACTTTGGACTGCCTAAACCCTGCAACACACGGCCTGAGTCCCCAAAAACAAAGTTATAGAAGCCTAAAGGGAATCTATAACGGAGTTAGAAGGGTTTGGGATTTTTAGTGCCGGCCCCGGACTCATAAACCCCCTCTCTTTGCCTTTCATTACCTCTTTTTACGGCGGGGGCATTTTAACTAGGGGTGTACATTAGCCCTGAACCTGAACCCGAAAACCGAAAGCATAGACCCAACCCGAGTCCCGTCTAAAACCCTAAACCCTAAGACCTCTCCGACGGCATTCTTGGTTGAGAGCACAGCGCCCAACCCGTGAGGAGGATTCGGTGTTGGGCTTTCGGTGGCTCTTTGTTTTGCTTCGGGGAAATCCTTCAAAGCGCTCGCATGACAGTTGTGGTATAGGGTCTTGGGTCTTGGGTCTGTAGGTTGAAAAACCAGTTCGCTGTGTGTTTTCGTCCCCCGTCTTTCCAAAATAACCAAACCAAAAACCCTAAACCCTAAACCCGAAAACCCTAAACCCGACAACCCTAAACCCTAAACCCTAAAGCAGAGACCCAGCCCTGGCCTATTACCAGACCCTCATCGTAATTCTTCGTTCGCTTCGCAGCTCAAACGCCGCGTTCCATCGGAAAGAGGATCCGGGCATCCCTCTCTCTTCGTCTCGGTAGGGCTTCTATTCGAACCCTTTGGAACCCTAAACCCGAAACCCTAAACCCTAAACCCTAAACCTTAAACCTTAAAGCCCTAAACCCTAAGCCTTAAACCCTAAATCCTAAACTCTGACGAGTTGGGGTCTTAGGTTCGAGATTTCTGGCGCAACGGTAGAGAAGGGCTTTCGGGCTCGGGGTCTTGGACGCTTTGGGGGGCGTGGAAGCATATAACCATATCCGCGAAGCCTAAACTGAACTACAAAACCTCTCAGTGGGTTTAGGGTTTAGGGTTCGTGACCGTAGGTTTCCGACTCGTTTGCTCAGCAGTGCCATGCCATGCAAAATGCATGCCTTGGCTTGCTCTGCCTGCGGCACACGGACGCCCGGTGCTTCAGAAAAAGTCCTGAACCCTGATTTTGGGGGTTAGGGCTTATTTGCAGGATCACAAGACGCAGTGCCTAGGGTTAAGAGTACCTCTATTGGGGTTAGATGTAATAATAAGTATGGTTACATGGTTTATAACCTTGCTTGCTAAGCTACGTCCTATGATCCTTCAAGTAGGGTCGCGTGTGAGTAAACCCTAAACCCTAAACCGTGGTTTACAGACCCCGAGCCCCCAATCCAAACTCCTCAGCCCTACCGATCAGCACTCTTGGTGGGAAAACCTACAAAAGACCCTATATCATCTCTCAGGGGAGGATGGCATTGGGGTTTAGGCTCCCTTTCAGGGATCTATAGGCCGTCGCTTTAGTATTTAGGGGATCTATAGGGGATCCCTTAAAGGATCTATAGGGCTTCCTTTTAAAATGATCTCTAGGGGTTCCCTTCAAGGGATCTGCAGGGCTTCCCTTTAAGGGATGTATAGGGGCTCGCTTTAGGGGTTCCTTTGGGGAGGATGGCATTCTCGACCCGGCGGCCCTCTTCGCGACGTCCAGCGGGCGCTACGGCCAAGGCGCTCGGGGTTTGGGGTTTAGCGTTTAGGGGTTTAGGGTTTAGGGCTCCCGGATCCTTCAAAACCTTAAGCCCTAATATAAATGGGGGTTTGGGGGTTCCCTATTAAGCCTTATTACAACTATAGTAGTATAATAGACCCCAAAAGCCTATTCGAATTATGAAGACCCCAATATTTAAGGGTTATAGGAGTTTATAGTTTTTTTATTATGACGGGTTAAGGGGTTTCGGATGGTTTAACAGTCAGGTGTGATTGGGTCTTGCAGTGGTTGATTAGGAACAGATTGTAATTTAAAGAGTTATCCTTATCGTACTTCAAGGTCCATTCCTTCATCAAGCGCCCAGCGAGGTCCCTAAACCCTAAACACTGAACCCTAAACCTAGACCCTGAACCCTAAACCCTAAACCAAAATTCCAGTGAGGTTTTCTGAGGGCTGAAGAGGAGATTTTTTCAAGGTGTCGAAACGGTCGAACCAGGAAAAGAAGGGCTTGATAAGCGTTTTACGAGGCTTCTTACGGCTTTGGAGGGTTCATAAGAATCCGAAGAGCTAGAAAAAGTTACTTGTTCACAACGTTTTCAAGAAATGGTTGGTAAGAGTCTGGAGCTGGAGCAAGAGGGCTGTACTAGGGTTGGGGGGTCTTTTTTTAGGCGTGGGGGTCCAGAGTTCAGGTATGCTGACGACGGTTTAGGGTTTAGGGTTTAGGGTTTAGGGTTTAGGGTGGCACAGTCCTGGTTTTCTGAAGTACCTTTTTTGAGCTATACGAAGGATTTACTTCCATGTTCATGGGTCGCTGCACGCAGGGTTACAGGTACCTTGAAATGATGACTAATCATAGTTGTAGCCTGTTGCCGTGATGAAGCGCGCGCTGAAGCTACTGACGCCCATCTGAAGCCCTTGCAAACACTCGATGGGTTTTAGTTGCACAGCCCCTGAAAAACCCCCCTAAACCCTAAACCCTAAACCCTAAACCCTAAACCCCAAACCCTAAACCCTAAACCCTAAACCCTAAACCCAAACAAAAGGCGAAACCCTAAACCCTAACCTTTTCTGAAATCCTTGCAATCGTTTCTGGCGTTCAGTCAAAAAGGGTCCGTGGCAACTCCAACGCCAAACCTCAGCCTCGTGCGCAGTTCTCTAAACTAGGGTCCCTTTTTGGGTTGAGGTTTAGGGTTTAGGGTTTTAGGGTTTGGGGTTTAGGGTTCGGTGGGGTTCCTTTTTGGGTCCCCAATATAGTATGGCACCCTTATAAAAAGGACCCTAAAATGGACCCTAGTTCAGAGAACTACCCATATGGTCGAATGATATGAAAAGGGCTTGGGTGGTGTTTTGATTTTTGTGGGGTTTAGGTTAAGGATTCAGGGTTGAGGGTTCCGTGTTTGTTTCGGTACTTTACAGCTTCTGGGCTTTGGGTTAAGGCTTCAGGCCAAGTCTGTTGACAAAGCGTTTAAAAGCTCATAGCTCCATGCCTTGAGCCCGAACATGTCATCAACACACTTTAACAGGGCTGTCCTTTAGAGACTTTAGAGAGTTTAGAGTATTCCGGCTGCTACATTAAGCCCTGTTCTTGAACCCTTTCAAGACTCCCCTAAAGCCCAAGCCCTCCTTTAAGAGCCCTAACCCTGACTCCCCTGAACCCTGAACCCTCCTTTAAGAGCCCTAACCCTTTCAAGGCTCCCCAAAACCCTACACCGTCCTTAAACAGCCCTGAAAGCATCGCAGGCCGCCTTCCCCGGTGGGTTAATGACAAGAGCTGCGGCAAGCCTCAGTCACCCGAGGTTGCTTTCGCCGCTCGACCGTGCTTAGGCCCTAAACCCTACGCCCTAAACCCTAAGCCCTAAACCCTAAACCCTAAGCCCTAAACCCTAAACCCTCTGCCCTAAACCCCAAACCCTAAACCGCAGGGCTTAGGATCATGAGACTTCGTAACTGAAAGACTTCCTTAAGGGGGTCCGTAGAGGGTTCCTTAAAGGGATATGTAGGGATTTAGGGCTTACAATCTCATGACAGTTCTTAGAGGATCTCATGGAATTTAATAGGCAAAGTTGTTTTTCGGTGTTTTAACGTTTCAGGTGTTGTGCGGGTTGAGGGGACTCAGTAAGTGTGGTTACAAGTATTTCAACTGGGGCAACAACTATTCAAAGCTATAGTTACCATATGTGTTAACCTTGGTTGCTAAGTCCCAGAGTCCTTTAAGTGCCCGACTGTAGCCTTTTTTTTTTCAGGGTTTAGGGTTCAGGGTTTAGGGTTTAGGGTTTTAGGGTTTAGGGTTTAGGGTTTAGGCTTTAGGGCCTAAACCCAAGCCCTTTTCCAGACGTCTGGGGCCAGGGTTTCTGCCTACTCGGCCTGCAAATCTGAAACGTAGTCACGGCAACGACTGGAACCCAGGCCCTACTATGGAAGCCTAAATAATTACAAAATCATTCCTTAGGGCTCCTTATTATAACTGCACTATACAGGAGCCCAAACCCTATTCTAATTATCAAGGCCCCTACATTACACCCTAAAGCCTAGGCCTTGGATACTGTCCCCACTCAGTAACAGTTGACCAATATTCATGATATGGATATGTAAGGCCCTTAATAGTAGCCCTATTATAGACTGTTACTGTATGGGGGCAGTACCCAACCTAGGCCCTAACCCCAAACCCTAAAGCCTAAACCCTAAACTTGAAACCCTAAACCCTAACCCCTAAAC